TCATTTAGCTCTCATTATATAAGTGAACGTTTTCAATTAAAGATTGATGTAAATAAAAAATAATTTTATTTAAATTTTAAGATACTTAGTTACTACATTGTTAAGGTAATTAGTTATGTAACTAATGCTCTGTTAATAGCTGTCTAAAAACTTAACAATAAAAATTAGATGACTAAACTATCACTGCCTTGCTTTCTTTAATTTCCACTCGCTGCCATCAGATTTTATTGATGTTAAGCTTCTTAATTGATTGTGTAGATTATAAACGTATTTCATTTCTTCAATTCAACACAGAGGTATAAATAAGTGACAGAATTTACGCAAATAAGAATCGCTACCAATGAACATAGAACGGAGAAAACCTTTTGTATGTTAATGCATTAAAATCGATATACACCTAAGTCTTTACTTATTGATAATTAAGTATTGTTCATAGTGCAACATCCAATGCGATTAAAAGAATTCATATTAGTTGAGTAACCGTAACAAGTACACTTATTATTTCAGAACAGCGATAATATAAAAAAGACAAGAAAATATTATTGACTCGTTGATAATATAACGCAAAATACCTAGCTAGGTTTGATAATAAAAAATAACCGTGTAAATATAAAGTAGTAAACTAGTCCTTGTTAGCGAAAACATTGTTCGCTTGGGGGAGACATAACAAATAATAATAAACGAATTTTGATTTTCAAATGAACGCGGAGAGACCGCGGCGCAATGAATGTTACAGATGAAATCGCGATTTGGTACGAACCCCATAAATATGTTATTTAGTAGGGGGGAAGGGAAGCAACACGGACTCTCCGACCGATATTGTTTCTGCATTTGTAGAAACGCGCGGGCACTGATTGATGACAGCCCTGCCCCATCCACCTCGGTAGTTGCTATTAATAATGGACGAGTTCGCGATAACACTCAGTTGATTGTCGATTGGGGTGCAAATTCGTTTGACAAGTTGTACGAATTGAAACCTTTTTTATAGTTCTCTATCTACATAGTCTCATACTGACGTTGTCCAAGTGGAGATTTTGGGATTTACTCGAGCGCGGCATAATAACATAAGGGGGCAAGTTTGCACCCTGTGAAGTACTCACATCATACCCGAGCCCTTTATAGGGGGGCGAATGTCTAGCAGCAAAAAAATAAAAATCGACCATGACTTTTGGTTGCGTCCAAATCTTCAGTCTTTCAAATACGAGCTACTAGTGGTTGCCGTAACGTTTCTGATGATGGAAAAATATACTTGGCCTAATAATGGACGAGTTCGCACTAACACTCAGTTGATTGTCGATTGGGATGCAAATTCGTTTGACAAGTTGTACGAATTGAAACCTTTTTCATAGTTCTCTATCTAAATCTACATAGTCTCATACTGACGTTGTTCAAGTGGGGATTTTGCGATTTACGAGAACGCAGCAGAATACCATAAGGGGGGCAAGCTTTCACCCTGTGAAGTACTCACACCATATCCGAGCCCTTTTTGTGGAGTCGAACGTGTAGGGCAGCAAATAATATAAAAAACGGCCATGACTTTTGGTCGTGTCCAAATCGTCAGTCTTTCAAATACGAGCTACTAGTGGGTGCACGTAACGTTTCTGATGATGAAAAAATATAAATCTGCCGGCATGAATGGTATGGGGATGGCCGTACGAAGGGGTAGAAAAATAAAAAAAGTTCGAGCACATATATTCTTATTTTTAAGCATTAAACTGCTAGATGTTTCAATCTAAAATATCCCGTCTGCTGCCTGGTCCGCGTGGATTTTTTTCTAGTAAAATGTCTTGAGAAGGGATGTTGAAATGATACCTTGAAGAGATCTCTTCCTATCAACCCAGAGGTGGTGTGGTGTCGGAGATTCAAAGGTATTTTATGTATATGCAGCGGTAGTGTTTGCTTAGCCGAGAACAAACCTGCCCTTCAGTATCGCGCACATAATGTCTGGCCGCAGCGGGCCGCATATTCCTCCGCGGATTTTGGTTGCGTCCGTGCTCCGTGGGAGAGTAGGGTTCAGGTGGATTCACATCCTCACTTAACATTGGTCCGAAATCATTTGCTACGGCTCTAAAAGAAAAACCCAAGTATATGTATTTAATTACCAAGAAGTCTACAAAAACTTTTTAATAAAAATATGTTTTAAAAATCCCTTCTTGGAAAAACGTATCAAACACTTCACATCTTTAGATTTCTTACATGAAATAAAGGTTAAGATTTTTTATATTTTCTATGCTAAACTTGCAATAAATTTATGCATAAAGCTTCATTAGGTATTGTTTGCATTCAGTGCACCATGCGTGATTGAGTTGTGAAATAGTAAGTACAAACACAGATCTTTCAAGACGGCCGCCCGCCCGCAGTGGCGCATGTTTGCGCAAGTTGTTTAAAAAAGCGCCCGCCCTCGCATCGAGTGCGCCCAATTAGGGCGGCGTCGTCCCTGATTGGATATAATCGGGTTAGCATCGGGGCAGCCCGCGACGCGACACAAACAAATACACACGCTCAGTATAGGGAGCACACTGCGTAAACAAAACACGATCATGCTCTCGTCGAGTTAAGAATGTATCTATTAGTTATTACAACTACAAATTGGTCGCTGTAGGTATATTGAGATTTAGAAGTAGAGCGATTGATGTTACCCGTGTTGTAAGTACAGACAGATCATATTTTCATTTTTAGATACAACTGCATCTGCAACTGCTCTTGGCTTTTTAGGGTTTTGATTCAACAAAGGATTTTTAGTTTTTTCTCCGCGTCCGTCCGTAACAAAGTTCAGGCTCTAAGACCCACTTGCACCAAAATTCTCAATTCAACATTCCATTTTCTTCGTCAATTTAATTGTTTAAATAAAAGAAAATATGCTAAATAAAGCAAGCTCAGTGTTATATTCAGCAGAAGCCTTGCTATTTTAACAGTTTCGGTGAATTTAATCGCTGGCATTGATTTTTGTATATTAGCAGTTTTTTAACCGACTTAAAAAAAGGAGGAGGTTCTGTGTTCGACTGTATATTTCTTTTTGATGTGTAACATCTTTCCTCCCGCTTTCGTGCAATTTGTGGGAGTGATTACGTGAAGTGGGACGGCAGCGTGTAACAGGAAGTTTGGGAAGCGCGCGCTATTTGATTTGATTTTAAAACATAATGTTCAAATGGCTTATTCCTTTTGTAGTAGGTTTTATTTCTATTTTTTTTTCCTAATATAAGGTGAGGTTTCAAATGTTACACATCATACGCGACTACTGTAGGGCTCGCTCGTTTTTTTTAAGTCATGTGTTGCATTTATAACTAAAAATTCAAAAACAAAGAAGTTTAATAGTGATTTAAAAAAAACGACTTCGCAACTTTTTAATAACTAACTTAAAAAATATTTCTGTTTTAAAAACTCATAAAGTACCTATATAGGTCTCATATAAGTAAGTCCTTATGCCAACTTTTTTTTATTAGTAGTCTGAGCTGATAATAGAGTGAAACATATTTTATCATGAATTTAGTATATTTGAAAATATATTAAAAATAGGTTTGGTAAAAAAAAAAGCCTGGACAGACTGTTTTTAATGAAAAAAAAAATATATTTAATGTTGCAACATCAAGATAATATGAAAATTTTGTCCTGACTTAAAGTAAAGTAATACGTATAGAATGAGCAGCCGTTGGATTGTCTATTATTTACCTGGGCGAAATACTGAGTTGTCAGGTATAAACAGGTATGTCGATGCCTGAAAGCATTAATAAGTGCTGCAGCAATCCGAAAATGTTCAAACACATTCGGAAAGGACTTATTAAAGTTATCAATCCTTAAGAACTTATAGTCACGTTTGAACCTTCCGTTTACTACTTCTACTACCCTTAATTCATTTGCAATTAATCTAGACTTATTCGCTTGCTCTGTGGATAGCTGGGTACTGTTTCTGTCCTTGCTGGGTGGCATATCTGCTTGGTAACCGCATGCTTCAAAATCAGGTAGAGCGTCTCTAAAGCCGCGATCCAAAATAAATACATCAATCATTTAATAAAACCAATTAAATGCACTGTCATTATCATTTAGAAGACTGCTCATAACCGTGGCGTCCGATGTAGTGGCAGCATAAGAGCCTGTTACTTCGATAATATAGTCATTGCTACAAACAATGAGAAACTGCTTCAACAGATTCCTGTACTTATGAAGACTGTAACCACGTCTTTCAAAAAGGAAGTTGCTGCTCTTCTGGATGTATATGTACGTCCCGTCACAAATCGATATTAGTTTCGAATTGTTCGGGTCTCCAAAAATTGCATTTGGTTTTAACAAATTTTTGCTAAGCGCTTCATTTTTACCCGACTGCGCAATGCAAGAGCGCAAAGCGCGACGCGCAGACAGGGTATAGTGTTTAACAGTCAATATATTATGTATGTTTGTTCCTTTGTGGCACACTAGAGACCAAACGCCTGGACCGATTTTGATGATTCATACATCAATCGAATCGTCTCAATTATTAGTAGTGCTACTAAAGATATGATAGTAATCAAAATTCAATATGAAAAAAATTAGGCGCCATATTGTGACGAAGTAAAAAAAATAAGTTGACAAAATATGTCGAGTGAGGTATCACTATCTAGATAATCAAAAATCATGTTGAGGTTCCTAACACCATTTTTCATTTTATATGATTGTTTAGGATCTACAACGCTTTGAAGTTGTATATTAATCACTTACGCAATTTCAATCTTACGTTTGTATGGATCTTTGTTACTCTTTCACCTAAAAAATACTGAATAGATTTTAATGAAACTTAACAGTAATATAGCTCATATATGATAATAACATATATATAAATATTTATGTTATTATTGAGTGAATTGGCCAAAATATAACAATAAGTGTCACATAAGACGGAAAAAAATCTCCCATCTGCGAGCCATTTTGGCCTGCACTGCAAAAACAATAAAAGCTACATAATGTAATGTAGAGTGAAAATGTATCTCTTAAATAGTTCTAAAAAAAAGCCCGTGACACATATATCCATTTTTAATGTGTAAGCCATTACCGCTAAAATTGTGAATCAAAACTAAAATATTATTTGATATCTATTTCCAAAATGTACATTTTGTATTAACAAATTATTGAATAAGTGGTAGTTTACTATAAAATTTACATACATTAGATATTTATGTAACGTATTGATTTAACTTCACACATTTTTGCGAAAATTGAGGCCCATCTGTAGCCTTGACCCCGCTGGTAAAGTCTCTTTATGTCTTAATAAATCAATCTTTTATACCACCGCAAGGTACTTAATAATTCCCGCGATATTAAAACCCTGAAGTAATAAGACTACGGTATTAACTGTCTTAAAATACTAACTAAAAGTGTGAAATAAAAAAGGTAAATTTAAAAAATCAAAAAACCCGACTGCTTAATTATACTTCAAATAAAAACTGAAAAGAAAAAAACAAGTCCAGTAGTCTATAATTCTGTTAATAAGGAACAAAGCTACTTTAACAGTCGGGACCCATTATTGAAAAATATTATGTATTCTTGAATATCTAATGGGTCCCGGCTGTTAAAGTTTAGCAGTGATGCTAGGCGTACATTAGGTTCGCCTGTCCGAAGTTTCATAAGGTATCCACCTAGAACCGTATTCGGTGCGTTCGACTGCTGTCGTAGTGATGGTGTTTGTTTCAGAAGCAAATTGAATTCAGCGATCGTGAGTCCTGTCCAATGTCGCAACTCATTTTCTGTTTGCAAATCAAAATCGAATGTTGTTGATGGATTCTCTAAAGCTGTTCTATAAATTGAAATGATATCCAATACATAGATTTCTCATGATTTTGATCAAGACCATCTATATGATCGGTAAACATTGCCGGTTAGCAACTGGTCCCAATCGTGAACCATTGTGTTCATTACAAACACGAGCACTTGTAGGTATGTAGAAATTGTAATAAAATAACATGTGAGCTTTTATGCTATTGGGTATTCGAATTCGTGACATGTTTAAACAATCTCGCTGTATTAGATGGTCTTGCGAGATTTCGTTGAATATCTGGCATAGCGGGTGGAACTGTGATATCATCATCTTCGTTGATAGCTCCAATAGCCCGTCCGGCAGTGTTAATTCGTTGCCAACATCGATGGCACGTGAATACAACTTCATCGAAGATACCTTTAAGAAAGAAAAAAGTTTGTGAACTTACGTCATAATCCTTTACTTTACTCACAGTTCACTAGAGAAATACTTAATGACTTTGGGGCTAGGCTAATTGGTGGGAATGTTGGAAATGTTTATTTATGTCAGGGCAAAATTTTCTTATTATCTTGAAGTTGCGACATTTTTTTTAATAATAAAACTAGTTTGTCTAGGATTTTTTAGCAAATCCATTTCTATTTTTAAAATATTTAACTGCTAGAAGTTTCAATCTAATCAATAATTTACTAAAAAAAAATCCACGCGGCCCAGGCATAGGATAGCGAAGGGTGCGGGTTCGAGTCCCGTCTGCTGCCTGGTCCGTGTGGAATTTTTCCTAGTAAACTTTTCTTTAAAGCCATTTTTAATATATTTTCTAATATTCATGATAAAATATGTTTCATTCTATTATCAGCTCGGTGTAGGTCGATTTAGGTTCGGATCTTCTACTATAGCGTATATTTTAGCGTTGTTTGAAGGACCTTTACTGTTAACTGCTACATACTGTAAAACTGGTGATTCATGTATACAGGGAGGAAAAACAATTATTGCTATCGAATTGTTTAGTACGAACTTCAAAGTAAGGTTCAAATAATAACAAATGGTATAAGTAATTCAAAATACAGTTTATTGGAAAGATAATGTATAAATTTAGAATGTTACCGTAATTTTATAAAACAATTTGTATAAAACACACAAACAACATAGATTTCCAAATACAAAGTGCACATCAACGGTGTATAACAAAACATGACGTATTGCAAGTATATGCTTAACCATCGCATCACAAGTAGGTTCCTAATCATAAGTAATAATACCTGAAGTTTTAAAAAATACAAACTGTAAAAACTTTCGAAACTATGATTTATCATAATGCTTCTATTTTTACAACTTATTTATTAAAAATAGTTCACACAGCACGGTTTTTTTTTACACGTCTGCCCAAAACAAAGGTCACGTTCTATAGTTTGTATGAACACTTGTGCGTTTAAATTCGAATTTCTTGTATTATAAAATGTACCTACAGTGCGATATCTAGTGAAATCGTATTGAACCTACTTTTACCTCTGAAATTATATCTTAACATTGTGGTGAAAAACAACAGTGTGAGAATTAAGGCCTGCGCAGACGAGGGACTATTGTCCGCGGGCTTTTTTGTTCGCCAACATGGATCGCTTACAACTGCATCAAGTTACGCTCACAAAGGATTAAATGTACCGCATACAAAAAGTCTCCCCATTAACCGAGGACGCAGAGAGATCGGACGGGACAAAAGTACCTTTTTAGGGTTCCGTACCCCAAAAGGAAAAAACGGAACCCTTATAGGATCACTTTGTTGTCATAGTACAGGTAAAGGAAATATTGCGTAAACCGTAAATTTTTAGTGACATCATATAATAAAAAAAACGACGGGTTGCACTCTGGGAGTGCCGGCAGAAGTGAAAACTTGAATATTAACGTTGTGCATTTTTGATATTTTGGAATGGTTAGTGAATAATTTTGCACGAATTGCTTTAATTATCAGTATACAAGTACTATCATTTATGTGGTAGAATACAATATTTATTTATTGCGCTATCGTACACAAACATAACAATTTATATTACATTAATATGTTTATCTCTCAGAAAAATCAACTCACATGAATCACATTCAAGCGCACCTAGCGACATCTATTGTAAAAAAATGAATTTTCCTCGCAATTAAGCTGCCACCTGGACGTCCTAATTAGAGACTTATTATTATAATACGATAAAATAAAATATTACAATTAAATATTAGGTCACGTGTCCGAACGCGATCAGGCGACGTGTCATGACGCGATCAGGCCACGCGTCCTGACGCGAGTTTAACATTTTTTACTCATTACAAAAAAAGTGTACAACGCCGCTAAAGAAGTTTTCACTTAAATTTTTTTTTTAATTTTAAAGTTACTACCTCTTTTCCCATGATCGCGTAGAGGTATTAAATTGAGTTTGTACGGAACCCTCGGTGCGCGAGTCCGACTCGTTTTTTTTTTGAGTGTGTATGCTGTTGGTCGCGATGACCTTTACAGCGTCACCGGGTTTGGGGACGGCGAGATTCTAAGGGGACCTCAAGCCGAGAATTAGCGAGTGCCTCTAGAGGCGGGAATGGCATCTCCCCATGGGGGGAGTCTCCTCTTCGTCTGGAGCCTTTAGACCACTCGAACCTGAGGGGGTCGGCTCAACTAGAGGGCGTCTCCGCGACTCGGACCTCGGCTCTAGTTAGCCGGCGTCGTGGGGGGCGCAAAAGTACGGGGGGTGTCCCCGTAATAAATAGAACTCAGGCTACTTGGCACAGCAACGCATACAGCGAAGTTTAGTACGCGTTGCCGTTGCGCGCTCGATCCAATATAAAGGGATGGACCTAGTATTTTCAATGGGTCAAGTGTTAACGTCTTCAAAAAATTAATGAACATATTCGATATTGGAGAGTCAGAAAAGCCCTGGATATGCTATAGGTAGGTAGCAGGTAAGTAATAGCCCAAGGTAAGCCCACTTAATAAGCTTAATTTTGCAACACATAAGACAAACATAAAACCGGAACCACTCATGCCAGTCACTCATTCATTCATTCATTTCATTAATTAGAAGAAATGAAGAGGGTAAGCTTCAAAATACATTGAATTATTGAAGTAAGCTTATCAGACATAACATAAAATTGTGACTGTGTTTTGTGACTTGTATATGTTCAATTAAATATCTATGGTAATTCATAATAATAACCATACCATAATTCCTAATTACGGTATGGCTATTATTTGATATTATGAAGTATTTTTAAAAACCTTGGCACTGCTGTATTTCCCTATGCAATATTGGACAGTAGCATAAACTTTTAACAATCTTCTTTCAACTGCTTTGTAGTGATCCTCTGTAGCCAACTTCTCATCTTGAAAGGCAGACAACAATTTTACAGTCTCTGTGAGACTCCCACCTGACAACATTTCTAGATGCTGCCATGTAGATGAGGATAACCTAAGATTAAGCAAAAGCAAAGCAATTTTACCAGTAACAATCAACATATAGAACATACATTAACATATTTTTAACTTACATGCAACATTGATAAAGTGGAGCTAATATATCCAATTCATCAACATTCGGATTACCCAGGCCTTTCCCATTATCTAAAAGTAAAATTCTGTCTTTATAGACCTCATATCTATGTCGGTCTCCATTTTGTATTAGGAAATCAAATATCGCTACATCTATCAAGTTTAATAGTCGTTTTGAGCTATATGTACTGATGATTTTTCTGAAAAGAAGACATCATATTGACAACCACAAAATATTATAAGTATTGAATTACACTGGTTAGAAAAAGCAAATAATGTCTATTGATTGAAATAGTTCTAGTTATTCAAAATAACAATATTGATATATTGAATATATGTACCTATATGTTTATTAAAAAGCATATTTACTTTTAGAATACTAAAACTTATAAAAAACCTTAATGTATGCACAGATATAAAATTAATATAATTACTGAAGGAACTACGAATGCAATACTTACTTACAAAAATTATTGTCCTTCTCCCATTCCATTTTCCTACTAGTATATGATCTTCTCCATGGTGATTTATATATCTTAAATTGTTTGTCTAAATATAATATAGCAGCACCTTCTATTTCCCCTCTAGAGTCAGGGCAAACTGTTTCATTCACTTTACAGTAATAACATTTCCCATAGATACACATTGACCCACTTTCTAAAAAGAAGTTTTATCATTCATTAAACAATCAATTTATACACACCCTAAAGGCTGCACTCAGAGATGTCAATTGAATCCTAATCATACCGATTTATTGCCTTATAGTTGCTTTAAAATTTTCCTAATTTAAGTATCAGCATAAACCTATACCGAAATTGACATCTTGGAGTGATTCCTTAAGTATATTTAATTTTATATACCATTTTTCACCATGGTTTTCTTCAATCCTTCAGTTGCTACAGGTAAAATATCATTATTTATATGGATCCTTCTTATAACTGAGGGTGTTATCCATGTAAAATTCAATACCATAGCAAGGTAATAGGCAAATACCTCAGAATTGTGGCGATCAAAACCTGCATATATATTTCCATTTATAATGTCGCCAAGTTGATATCTTTTAGGTTTAAAATATAGTTTTTGTTTACCCTATAAAATAATTGATATTGTTTTAATGAAACCAGGATGTTGTTTAATTTCAGAATATAATGATGTCGTTTTATCACCTCCAGTAGTACCATCATTTTTAATTGTGTTCCTTTAGGAGCATTATCAACCAGCACTATCTGTGAGGTTCGCATGGCCCGCAATATTTTTCCAGCCATTCCATTTTTATGTGGAAATAATAATTCATCACTAGCCCACTGGAAAATTTCACTGTAACTTTATTGACTGTTATACCTGCCTGCCTACCTGCTAATTTCGTTACTAATTTATAAATTATTTTATTTTATAGAATTGACTTACAGTAAGTACATTAGCTAAGACGTTTACTGGATCCATAACATTAGTTGAATTAAATGACTGCATGAGATTCTTTTGAATGTATGTAAACTTTGAATTTCTTTGTTTATATGGACTTGGTAAATAATTAAGATACTGGTAAATTTCTTTAAACACACCAGGTGGTGCATCTGATTTTAAAGAAGGTATATTGAAACTCTTCCCTTGTTTTTGCACAGTATTTAAGGTATAGAAAAAGTAAATATTAATTCCAACAAGAATTAACAAAAACAATGAAAAACAAAAAGCATAATTCATTGACATGTTTTGATAGTAAATTGCACCTAAATACTAAACACATTTCTTTCAGATCTAGTCAAAATCACTATAGTAATTATAAAATTATGGAACCGTTTGGATAAAATCGTACTCAGATTACGTGAGAGTTTAAATTATCACAGTATTTTTCTGCTCCCCTCGTTCATTGATTTTAGTAGTCTATCATTTTTTTAGCTAAAGTGCCTTATTAGGTTGGTTATTATTTTGTAATAAAATAGAAGACGACACACTCATGTTGAACAAAAGTTATTACTATAGCAAAGCACAGACATCTTTAAAAAAATATTTAATCAGTGGTATTACAAGAATGTTTATTTTATAGTCAAGAGACAGGCCATCGAAATTTCTGAGTCAGAGCCAGGGGGGGCACTCTTCGAATAACTTCAATTTTCATGCCCGAGGGCGACACCTGGAGATTGGTTGATAAAACAAACGGTCGGCCATATTGGCATGGCTGTCAATTGTCAGTCTGATTGTGATGGCGGACTTGTCATTGTCAACTCTGTCTGGCTCGCTTACTGATGTTGATGTGTATAATTTTCTCAATTTGGTTGTTAAAAATATCTTGGTTTGTTGCTGTTTTTGTTAAGTTTCTTGTTATTTGTTTGTTGGATTCGTTACTTGTTAAACCTTGTTTTTGGTTTTGTAACCATGAGCGGAATCCCGAAGAAATATTGTATATTTGGCTGTGATAGTTTATGTAAGTAAATCCTGTAATATTGTATTGGTATCTTCCAATCATTTTTGGATTGAAATTATTCGGTAATTATTGTTAGCAATGTTACTTTAACATTTCTATTTTAGCTATCCAAAATGTACCTCTTCATCGGTTCCCTAACCCTCAGAAGCGTTTTGAACTATTTACTTCTTGGGTGTCTGCAGTTAGAGAGAATCTCAGTGAACACAATCCTGAGAAAATTTATAAAAATAAGAGAATATGTGATCATCACTTTGACCCGAAATTTAAAACTACTGGAGGACGTCTTATCTGGTCAGCTGTACCAACTATTCTCGAGCGTAAGTTTGTTTTACTATCATTGTATGTATATGTATTGTATATCAATAACTTGAAATTACTCTATCATTTTGTAAAATATTGACAAAATTATGTGTAACTTATTATAGCATTGGTTGAAGTGATTTAACAGAAAGACATTTAAAATAATGGATGGAATTATTAATATTAGAATTTTTGTCATAGGTGTGCAACGATCCTTGGCTATTTTAGTGGATATTGAACATGACTACTGCCGTCCCAGAAGAGAAATTATGCATTCTACACCATTAATGGATGTAACTAACATGCATACAGGCAATGTAGATAGCAATGCGGGTCCATCTAGACCCTCTCATCCTAGCCCATCTACATTAAGAAATATATCCAATGCATCGATCACCAAATTAGATACAGGTAACTTACATTTTATTAAATTGCAATGTGGGACTGATTAATCGAGACATCATCCCCAAGTTCTCATAATGTACTAGCTGCACCCCGCGGTTTCACCTGCATTCTTTTGGGATCCCACTTATAACATTAGCTATCTGCGAGTAAAAGTCCCGTCAAAATCGGTCATGCGTTTTAGAGATTAGTTGGAACAAACAAATGACAAAAATTTTTAAAATTGATTTTTTGATGGAACTGCCGTTTAATATACATTAGTATACATTTAGTGAAAAGCTGTTAATTTGAAATTTCAAACAGACACCTCAATTTTATTTATTTATATAGATTATAAATTTTATTATAGATGTGCAGCAGTCCCTTCAGTTAGAGGATACATCTAGCCTAGCTCTTCCTGGTCCATCCACATCAAGAGAGATGTGTAATCCCAAAGTTCTGCAAACCAAATTTGATTCAGGTAACATGTTTCAATAATTTGCAATACATGACAGATTAATCAAGGCATCATCCCTAAGATTTTATATTATTTGCATTCTGTTGTATAATTATATTTGTAACCCTTTTTTGTTGAGTGATAGCTAATGTATAATGGCTTAAAACAGGGATGGCGAATCTATGAAACAGAGAGCCATATTTCTAAATAAAATGTTTAGTGACTTTATTATTTTTTACTAAAATGCAACCATTTTTATCGGTTGCATGCCAAAATTGTGTGTTCCATTGATTCTTCCTCTCTAGCATAAAACATACCCTTTACTAGTGCAATAAGAATAAATTAATATTTATTTAAAAATGAAAGAAAAATAAATATATTTGTATTGCTTTTCAGGTAAAACACTTGAATTTATACAAAAACAGAGTCACAAAAAGTATAAGAGAAAAGAAAGACAGATGCAGAATGAAATAAGGAGGTTACGACTTAAAATTAAGGCTATCAAAATGCGCCTGATGGAAAATGAAAAAAGCTCTGTGAGGAGGGATTTCAACAAACTTATGAATAAAATGACTGAATCTGCAAAGATGTTTACCAGGATGCAGTTTGAAGAGGGACCAAAAAAAAAGAAAGGTCATAGATTTAGGTTAAATGAAAAAATTTTATGCCTTTCCTTGTTTAAGAAAAGCCCTAAGGCTTACAAACTAATGTGTAAACATTTTACATTACCTTCTCAAAAGGTTCTAAAATCTTTACTTTCCCAAGTTAAACTGTCCCCAGGGATAAATGATCAAATTTTCAAAGAATTAAAAGTTAGTGTCGAAAAGATGTTGCATCAAGATCGTCTGTGTACATTAATATTCGATGAAATGTCAATTGCTCCTCACATTCATTACAATGTTTACACAGATGATCTTGTTGGATTTGAAAATTATGGGAATCAAAAGACAGAAAAATTTGCCAATCATGTATTAGTGTTTATGGTCAAGGGTATAAAAAAAAATTTTAAACAACCAGTAGCTTACTATTTTACTCAAACATTGCAAAGTACTAAATTAAAAGAATTTATTAAAGAAGTTGTAAGTAAAGTGCAAGCTACTGGTTTAAAAATAATAGCAACTGTTTGTGACCAAAGTACAGTGAATGTGAGTGCTATCAATAGTTTGATATCAGAAGCTAAAAGTACATATTTCCAAGCAGAAAAAGAATGGCGAAATGATGTAATAATTATTGATAGCACTGAAATAATTCCACTTTTTGATGTTCCACATTTAATAAAGGGAATCAGAAACAATTTAATAAATAAAAATATGCAATATGAACATGAAAGACAAATAAGACTCATTAAGTGGGAATATTTTCAAATGGTTTATGAAGCTGACAGGTCTCATGGCGAGTTGCGTCTTCTGCCTAAATTGACTAACGAACATGTGGATCCAGGCAAAATAAAAAAAATGAGAGTGAAAAATGCAGTACAACTTTTAAGCCATAGCTTGGCTGTAGCAGTGGATAATTTAGTAGCAAGGGGGGAAATACCCACTGAATGCCAGGATCTTATACCATTTACTTTGTTGATGGATAAATTATTTGATTCCCTGAATTGTTCAAGTTTCTCACCACCTCATGGCAAAATATATGGAGCTGCTGTAAGAAGAAATTCTCCTCATCACAAATTGTGGCAAGAAGCCTTAATAATGTTAAAATCAGTTAAATTTCTTACAAAGAAAGGTGATGGGGAGACTGTAGAGAAATCTGTACCTAGTGTAAATAATATCCTACGAACAATAGAAGGTTTTAAATCAATATGGCAGCTGTTATCGATGAAGTATTCATTTGACTCAATGTTGACTCGGAATTTTAATCAAGACCCACTCGAAAACTTCTTTGGTAGTATTCGCAGTTTGGGTGCTCGCAATGTTGCACCGAACTGTGTCGGATTCGAGGGAGCATTTAAGACTCTATTGCTGAATAATTACAGCAGTGATCATGCAATTAATTCAAATTGTGAAGAGGACACCAATAAATGTCTAAAATCATTGAAATTCTTTATAAAAAATAAAAACATGAGTAATGCTCCATCACAGTCTCTTAACATTGTTTTAGATCATGCCCTGAATGCTATACAAAACACAAATAGTAATTCAGATTCAGGGGCTGATCAAAGAGCATATGTCTGCGGGTGGGCCTTGACTAATTGTCTTAAAAAAATTGTCAAAGGGTGTAAAAATTGTAAAAGCAAATTATTAGGTCATGCAGATAAAGAAACAAATAAATTTATTAAGGCAAAAGAATATAAAACCAATAAGACATGGCTTTGCTATCCCTCAGATGACCTAGTAATTTGTTTCCAAGAAATTCAAAATGTGACAATAGCATTTATTAATAACGACTGCCATGAAAAAAATTTGAAACAAAGAATCAACTCATTTTTGGAGTTGTTTTCCAATTTTACTTTTATAAATTGCAACGAACACAGAGATAAAGTAAAGAAATATTTTACAGATACTTGTATTAATATAATTATTTACAGCTGGTGCAGATCTATAAATAGAATATTAGAAGGGAAAATGTCATATCAAGGGGATGATAAAACGAAAAAATCTGCTCTAGATTATTATAATAAGCATAAGTGCAATATTATTAAAAAATAATAAAGGATCGTTTTGCCTAATAATTTTGTATTTTATTTCTTAAGCCCGAAAACATCATAAATGAAAACAAAGCTAGATAGGTACTGTCAAAGAGTATGGTAATATGGTACTGTATTGTATATATGTAGGTATATATGTATGTATACCTATATATAGGCAATCGATATTAGTTCACTCGTCAATCTCCAGTTGGCAGAACTTTCCATACATGCAAATTTTTGCACAGAGTAGCTACTCTTTCTCCTATATATTACCATACTCTTTGGTCAGAGCTGCCAGATCAAAAATCCAATTGAGCGCTAAAATGATATAAAAAGCGCTAGATTTCAAGAAAAACGCGCTTTAAAAAAGCGCTAGATTACGCGCTAAATTAATTTAATTTTTTTAATCAAAAAAAAAACAGATAAGAATCAACCAAAACGTCAAAATTTCATAAAATTTTTGTTAATCTAAATTCAAAAATTATCTTCCATAGCTTAAATAGGGCCAGCTTCATTTCGGCCATTCATGTATTCTTTGTCTTACAATATTTTTCTGTCCCAATTTTAATCTTTCGCAGAATGTTTAACTACTTGATTTCTTTTTAATTTCCACTAAAATTTAAATATGATTTAATGAAAACAAAACCATGAACTAATGGCAGAAATATTAATCCTTATCCGTCGTGTAGTGTTATGACGCATCTGAGATATATCGGTTTCATACATTATGTAGTACGGCTAGAGTGAGAACGATGTCGACACATCGCGACACACAAGTATAGTTTTAACCGTAGTAAATGTATGAAACCGATACCTCTCTGACGCGACACAACACAAGACGACAGATAAGTGTAGTTCTGCCATAAAAAAATAATAAAGGGGCTTCGC